CAGACATTTAAATGGATTTAGGTTCAGTGTTTGGTTCAGTTTTTCTTGCACTGTAATATGCTGTGATCTGAACCCCTGCATATTAGGGACCATAAACCTCTGGCTTAGCCTTAAGTCTTGGACAGCCCTCTAATCAGCTACATGCATCCTTCCAAAAATGTTGACCGCTTCCCTGTTTATGTAAAGGAAGCGTCTTTATGGCAACATGTTGTCCCCACCATGTTTTACACTGTGACACCCAGGATCAGAACACCATGTGCCTGCAGAGTTTAGACTGTTATTTTAACCTCACATTCTTGTTATCTTCACTTAGCCATACCTTTACTTTATTCTGTAGCCTCTAAACATCTGCTAATTTTTTTCCCCCATCTTTAGCATTTTTAATTAATATTTCTTACAAAAGCATTGTGTAAATCAACTATGGCAGGTTCTTTTAAAGTGTACATTTCATTTGTTAAGAGCATGTGTTCCATGAGCAAATTGACAAGGGGCTCCCACCTCTCTATATTTAAAGCTTTCTGTATAATATCACTTGAAATGACTAGGTGGGAGAGTGGCGGCCTAGTGGTTAGTGCTTGGAATCCTGAGGTTCTGAGTTCGAGACCCACTCCCACAGACAGCCACTCTGACTCTCTGAGCAAAGACCCTTAACCCCACACTGTTGCCCAGGTGCCAAACAATGGCAGCCCACTGCTCCCCAGGGGGATGGGTTAAATGCAAAGGTAAATTTCTCCAATGTCAGATCAATAAAGTTAAAAATTGTATTTTTTTTATTTTTAGGTGAAGAAATGGGTAAAAAACTGTTGTAATTCAATGAAGTCAATTTAAGGATTTTGTTTTCCTTTGTCTATAATATATTTGTTGTTATTTTCATGGGTACATTCTAGAACAGGCCAACTTCATTCAAGAAAGGGGCAACAACTTTTAGTTGACAGTAGATTGCCACATAGGGCTGCAATCTGTACAAGATACAATGAAACTGTATTTTTATATGATTGTTTGTATGTATAATAAACCAACAAACAACACTGTAACCTAACATATTTCATGCTTAAATGTAGGTCTATGGGTGCGTTCTATTATACTTAGAACTTGACTTTAATAAGTTGGATTGACGTAATCTCAAAGGTGTGCATTCCAGTTTCCCTCATATCCTCCATGGGCACTATGGCAATTGTTACAGTAGAAAAAAAAGCTATTAGTTATAGTTATACATGTTTTGCAATTTTTATTTTATTATAATATAAACAGTTATGATTTAATTTATAATTTAAAATTCTTTATTATTTTCTAGAGAGAAAAAATGTTTAAATGACCTGTAGTTGTGTAGCCCTTTATCATGTCCAAGACTCCAATGCACTTTACACTAGAGCCTTTCACTCACACTGATGGTGGCAAGTTATAGTGTAGCCACAGCTCCGCTGGGGTACACTGACCAACAACAGTAGGCAATAAAGCTTTGGTGTCTTACCCAAGAACACAATGACTGAACATATTCAGACAGAGCTCGGGTTTCAAATTGGTGAACTCCTATATGCCACTGTGGGCAACAGTGGCATATAGGAGTTTTTTATATGATCAAAACGAGTGAACTTAGGTGTAATTTTTTTTCTTTTTTTTTTTTTATCAATTCCTGCATTGAACTATGAGCAGAGTATTCACTCTGTCTGTCACATACCTCCAAGGCTGCCCAGGATCTGAAAGGCAAGAGTTTTTTATTTTTATTTTTTCCAATGGAAGATGTTTGGGAAAGAATTAAGGTTCAAGGTTATTTGCAAAAACAAATATATGGTGCAAAAATGCAGTAGAAAAAAAACAATTTTTTGAGGTTTAGTTCTTTTTGGTTTGGTGTTAACGGTGTGATGCAGAGTCTCGATTTGCGAATTGATTTAGATTATTTTCCCCAACAGTTCAGCAATCTGATGGCAGTGGGGAAAAAGCTTAGTAGGCTAAGAAAATTTACTAAGACAGTTCTAAGTAATCTAAAAAAAAAGAATAAATAAAAAATTCACCAACACACATTTTTATTTTTGCCATTTGTAAGCCTGTGCAAAAACTATTTAGAAAATGTATCTGCTGCATGTCCCAAGCTCGTAACATTCTGTGATCCCTTAAATCCCCACTGCTGCCCTCTGGGAATCGGCTTCCCAGCATTCAATGCAGGCCAAGCAGTTTCCCCGCTGCCATCACACTGTTTAGAAAACTCTAAATCATGTCACAGACTCTGCATCACACAGATAATAACAAAGCAAACACTGCATAATTGCACCATATATATTTGATGGTCTGAACTTCCATATCAATGCATTTTTTGCACACACAGTGTTTACATTTGATCACTGCTGCACTTTATGGAATTGAAATGTTGTGAAAGCTGTAGAACATGAAGTTTCCTTTTGTATACACTTGTATAAAAAAATGACAATAAAAGTTATCTAATTCTAAGTCTACCCAAGAGGATCTATAAATGACACTGGATGGCCCGTATTTTGAGTAATGAATAAATGTTCCTGGAAGAATATGGAATTTTAAAGCGTTCATACTTTAACTTGAGCCATAGAGATAAGATTGTATCTCAATAGCCCTGACTTTAGCCTGGCAGGTGGCGCTAAGACACTAAAAAGTTGTTTTCCAGCCAGAAAATGAGTCTGAAAACCCGAAGAGGGAAGAGAAGAAGATGGAGATTTAAATGGGGTTTTAAATTCTCATAAGACAAAGAGAATGTTTTTTTTTTTTTCCAAAGAAAATAATTGGTACTAAGGTAAAAGTTGTATAATCAAGAATTAGAAAGAGTAAAACAATTAAAGTTTTGGGGGTTATGGTTTGATGAGGGAATAACATGGGGTGTACATATCCAGAAAGTACTGCACACATATAGGAAGGTGTTTGGTGGGAAGTGATTGTGGAGAAAAGCATTGAAGGCAATTTACTGTGGATCAATTAGATCAGTACTGGATTATGTGTGTGGTGTATGGATCTGCAGCTCTAAAAAAGTTGCACAACATCCAGTTTCAGGCTTTAAGATTATGTACAGGGGCTTTTAAAACAACTCCAGCGGCAGCATTGCAGGTGGAAATGGGTGAAATGCCTCTTGAGTTGAGAAGAATTCAGTTATCTCTGAATTATTGGGCCAGTTTACAGGGCCATAGTGAAGATCATCCAAAACAAAGCACTTTAAAATCTTGTTGGGAAATGAAGAAGAGGGAGACTAAAAGCTTTGGGTGGGCAGTTAAACAAAAAGCAATGGAGTTCAAATTAACCTATTTAAAGATCAGTCCAACAGTACCACTGCCTGCAGTACCACCTTACATACTACCTGAAGCGAAAGTTGATCTTACTCTACTAGAAACATACAATACAGGCAGATGCGTAGCCAGAAAATCTTTATAAGGGTGGCAAGGCAATAACCAATGTACACTGAGGGGTGGCCGAAAGAGGATCAACACCAGAACCTCAGGGCCAATCTACACTGTTCCAACAGGAAAATTAACAAGCACAACATCCATATTTTTAAAATAAAGACAAACTACATTTTCCTACAGCCTTTCCTAACAAATAGATGCATATATTTAAACATTCATGCTTTCTAGATAAAAGGTGTAGTGGATAAAATTGTATCTACTACTTGTATCAATAAACATTCTGCATAAAATGTATATTTACAAGTACTAATATCTACATGAACTGATTATTTGATAAGTTTTTATTAAAATTGTTATCTATGATTTCTCAGAAGACTCCTAGATGACTTGCAGAGACACTTAATTTTCTCTTTACTTCATATAACACAAAATCTACTTCTGAAAAGAACAGGAATTCTGTATTTATCATCTGTGTTGTTAGTATATTGATGTGTTTGATTAACCACAAAAATTTAAATGTTTTGAAAATTCCACTTGAGAGTATTACTACTGCCACCATCTGTATTAGAGGGAAAACATGGTAGGGGTGGCCACAGGGGTGACCAGTGTTTGGCTAAGGGTGGCCATGGCCACCCCTGGCCCCCCATCAAGCACCTCCCCTGCATACAGGCATATATTAATAGTTACTACAGCTTAATCCAGGTATACACAGATGCATCAAAGAGTTTATTCAACAAGATAGGAGTATATTTTATTGTCCCAGAGTTTCATATTGTAATAGGAAAGAGGACCAGTGATAATATATCAGTATACACAGGAGAAATGCCAGCAATTATTGTTTGCGGGTAGAGGAAATAAGACCAGAGTGATTATTTGTTCAGATTCATCGTCATTACTAATCAGTTTACAGAGAAGTCACTCAGCAAAGCAGATATTTTGATTGAAATCCAGCAAACATTATACAGAATTCCAATGATGGGCATTACAGTCATATTTTTATGGGTACCAGCACATAGTGGAGGTAAAGGAAATTAAATGATGGATGAAAAGGCTGCAAAGGAGGCTACAATAAGAGAAGCCATGGATGTGTTAGTTAAAATTAGTAAGATGGAAATAAAGAATATCATTAAACAGAGGCTGAAGGAAATGTGGCAAAAGCAATGGGAAGAAGAGAGGAAAGGACAGTGGTTTTATATGATTCAGAGGAGAGTGGGAGAAATGAGATGTGCAGGAAGGAACAGAAGAGAAGAAACAATTATATCAAGACTTAGATTTGGGCACACAGGATTAAACAGTGCTTTATTCAAAATAGGTAAACATAACACTGGCAGGTGTGAATACTGTGAGCAAAAACAGACAATCGAACATGTTATGGTACACTATAAGAAGTATGAATGAAAAATCTTAAAAAGGAAAGAATACACTTTCATTTGAAAGAAATCCTTTGAAATAACTCAAGAGATAAGTGTTATTTAATTGTTGTTGTTTTTTTGATTAATCAATGTAATTGAGAGGATTTAAATCAAATTTTGGTTTTGTTGATTTTGTTTTATTCAGTAAACAGTCGCCATTCAGATCCACACTCCATACCAGTTGGTGGCGGTAATGCACCATTTTTGCGTTCCAACCGCTAATAAAATCCCATGAAGAAGAAGAAGAAGAAGAAGAAGATGGAGGCACAGTTTTGAGGAAACTATTGAAGTAAGTATTATTATTTTCTATTACATTTGAATTAGACTAGTTAATTGTTTTGTTAAAATGTTGATTACGTTTTTTCCAACTTTGATTAAGTCACCGAAGTTACCATGTTGTTATATTGTTCGTCTGCTTAGCTGCTAATTAAAACAGGTCTCGCGTACCTCAGTTTTGCTGTCAATTGTTGGGCGGTGTTAAACTTTTAGTAGATTTTGTCTTTGTTTTTCTGTTTTTCTTGTTATCAGAAGACATTTAATGAGGACAGAATAAAGTCTCTGAGGCTCGGTCACTGACTGAAACACACCCAGCTAAACGTGCTAAGCGCTAACAACATACAAGGCTAGCAGGTCGCTGAAGTTAGCTTCGGTTTCGGTTCTTTAGCTAACGCTAAAGATTCAAAGCGCCCTTAAACCCGCTCTAGATTAAATATCTATGCTTAAATATTGACGCTTTCAATGGTCAAACCAGAAATGGATTATTTAGGTCTTCGATTCTGTAAAATTTGGTGATTTAAATTATCTATGATAACCATGTTGTTTACTATGTTATTTTCTCTATTTTACTCCCTTTCCATCAACAAAGTTCTCTAGTTTAGGAGGATTAATATGAACTTTGTTTTTCTTTCATGATATAATATATGAATTTTTTGCTTTATAAGGCATAATATATGATTTTAAATTTTTTTATCAACTTCAATTTTGCTGCATCTTAACATGATCTGAATGGAAAAATACAGCTAGAGGATTAAAACCTGGAAATATTGATGCATCATAAGGATTGTATTACTCAAGTACCCTTTTATAAACCCCTTTTATGACATTGCATTTTTTTTACCCCTTTTTAGTCATTAATTTTCTTTACACAGTCACAAAATATTTATTGTTTGCATTTCTTTGTGCATGCACATTATAAAAACGACAAAGCACTCATATTTGGTAAAATGTTTTAGGGTTCTTATATATTAAATTTATTAAACAAATTACAGACTTTGTTTTATTATATACGTATATATACATAAAATATTTTTGCTCAGATTTTACCAGTAAAGGTATTGCTGCTTTCTACTTGTAAACCTTGTGATTGGATATAGAAGATTTTAAAAAGCCAAATTTTTGCCCCTCTTTAAGCTTTTACAAATGGAATAAATATTTTATAAATCAGTTATTTGGTAGACTAGTCTAAAATGCTCCAGTTAACGTTCAACAATAGCGTTTCTGATTTGCAACTATTGTGGATAAAGGTAGTAAACTGTTATAGTGAAGTAGAAAAGCCCTTTAGACTAAAGTACTTGATCTAAGGGGGTTGAAATGGAATGGTGTGTTAAGGTTGTGCTGCAGTGGTTTAACAGCTGGAAACAGACTCATCTATTAGTGCTTTCTTCCTCTGTTTGTAGGCAATCCAAGCTGTCTGTGAGACCATGGTGGACAATCGCTATGCCACTGCCTTGGTTATCGGCTCAGTGCTGAGTCTGCTTGCCACTGTCTACCTGTCTGTTGCTGTGGGGACTGAGCACTGGTTCCAGTACAGCAGCCCGCTTGACTCACAGGACCTAAACATCACTAAACTCAAAGATCAATTCATCAATGAGGAGTTTGAGGAAAAAATATACAGCATTCCCCTGTTCAGCCTGAATGGGACCCTGGGTCTGTGGTGGAGGTGTATCCAGGTGCCCAGCCAGTCCTATTGGTTTAGAGAGCCAGGTATTGCTGTTTCATTCTACACTAAAACTAGTTGCATGAATGTTAAACTAATGTGTATTTAGATCTCCAATTTCAGTGAAAACATTTTTTGGTTGAAAGTCCTTTTTAATTTCAAGCAGACATTATTGCAAACCAGTCCTTGGAATCCAGTTGTTCCAGATGTCTGTGTGTCTGTGATAATATGCCCACTAATGCCTCTGAACTGCTTTTTAGATGGTTCTTTTTCCAGGAATAATCGGGTAATCACTGCACACCATCAAAACAGCTCCATACCAATTGTGGAACATGGTGGTGGCTCTATGTACTTTCTCTTCCATAGGTGTAGGAAGATGCTGGACCGTTCTATATGAACCTCAAAGAACTGCAATTTCTAATACTCTTGTCTTTTGGATAAAATTATCCTTTTTCCTCACAGAAAGGGTAGCTGACATGTTATACATGAATATATATATGAATACACATTTACACACAAATATGAAACAGAGTCTGAGCATCATTTGACAATATGTCCTGTTTGAATTTTTGAGCAGAAAATGAAGAGATTCTAGATTTATTGCATTTTTAACATGCTTTTAAGTAGAGATCAACCGATACAGGTTTTTTTAAGGCTGATGGGGATGCAGATTATTTTGACATCACTCTAACCGATCCCTGATATATGGGGCTGATTTGAAGGTGATATTGCTTTTTCCTTCTTTCATTTAGATGATAAAAAAGAGACAATGTTGCACTAGTCTCAGTTTAAACAAAGGCAAACACCTTTTAACAAATAAAAAAACATTAACAATAGATACTGAATGGAGGGAGCAGCATTGCATGCCCTGTATTTGATGCTGAATGCATAAATCAGTGAATGCATGCCAATAAAAAAAAAAAAAAAAAAACACTAATACCAGTCAGCTGATGTATCGGTCTACCTCTGCTTTTAAGATATCATCTGTGGGACATGGTGTCAGTTAGACCAAAAGATGCAAAAATATGTAAATCTAAACAATAACAAGGAAGCCTGTCGGGATGATAAAGGTTTTAACCAGTGTCTTAATCAACAGATGGTCGTCATCCACACAATGAAAGCGTCGACAGAACACAGCTACCAGATTGCACTCATCACAGGGGATGTACAGGTAGTTTGTAATACAGCACATTAAAGCTGACCATCAGAACAGTCACAGAATTCTGCTTTTATGCAATAAATACAGTTTTCCTCATCTTATGGCTAATTTTCAGGGCGCTGGTTATCTTTGTGTGCTTTGTTTGTAAGTAATTTGTTGAGCCAGATCAAAAAATCTGCTTTTTTTGACTGTAGAACCTGTTCCTGGCTTTACCTCGACCAGAGAAGGGTTATAAAAAGTAGATGAGCTTAAATGGGGGTGTAACCATGACAATCTGTTTAAAGAAGAAAGCCAGCAAAATCCTGCACTCCATTCTATGGACAATAAAAAAAAAGCACTAAATAATCTCCTTGAGTAAGGGCTTAGGTTGAAGGACAGGATCGGGTCAGAATATGTCGTTTGGATGGTAGGGGCTGTTTTTGTTTAGTTTTTTTTTCTCTGTATTTGAAGTTATGTGATGCTGATCTGTTTAAAAACGCCTGCTTATGCAAAGAATAATAAAACCATTAATACATCTGACCTTCTTTGCCAGCTTTGTTTCCCAGCCTGTTTTATGCCTTGATATTGAAGGCCCACAGCTTGGATCAATCATTTCCCTCTTCCTTTTACTTTAGATCCTAAGATGGAGACCCAATGTTTGAGCTTTACCCTTCCTCAGCAGTTCAAAACAAAGACCAAAGGAGAAGAAGAGGATCTGCTGAGAACATGTAAGCTGAAAAACCAAACACCACAAAATCTAATGTGAACATTTTAACTATTTTATTTGTCCTTTAAACTACTTTTAGCTTAGCGTTGGCTTGCACATAACAGTTTGTTTAATTGAACCAGAAATTGATGTAGTTAATGAGTTGCTGTCCTTCGGTGCAGACCTGTGGAGGTGCCAGTTTCTCCTGCCCTTAGTGTCTTTGGCCCTGGTATTTCTCAGCGGGCTCATCGGGGTCTGTGCCTGCCTATGCCGCAGCTTCACACCTACTCTGGGTGTGGGAGTGCTTCATTTTATTGCAGGTGAGAGAAATGCATCCTTATCCTCTATACTCCAAAGGGCCATCCGTTGTCGAGATCCCTAGTTTTTAGGGTTGATTACTAAAAATGTAATTCAAATTTTGATTATATTCTTGATTTAATTGCTACATGGATTTAGAAATATGTATCCACAATGTAAATCATTAAAAATAAGTAGGCTTAGTAGTTTGGGCATAGAGCTTGGAATCCTGAGGTTCTGAGTTCGAAGCCTCACTTTTCTTTTAAACTCGGCGCAGTTCTATTTCATCTTGGTATCATTAGTTTAATTTCTTTGAAGTCAACTGTCTTGATTATTTTTTTTACTTAATGAAACCACAGCTTTTAGGATAACAGATTTTATTAACTGGAAAAAAGTGACTGCATCCAACCAACGTATATTTTATTCCCATGCCATCACCAGGTCTCTGCTCTCTGGGAACCGTCTGCTGTTTCCGGGCCAACATGGATCTGTTCCACTACAGCTACAAACCTTTAGCCACGGTTGACTGGTCAATGGGGTGGTCTCTCTACCTGGCTCTTATCTCCTTCCCTCTGCAGATGATGGCTGCCGCGCTGTTCATCTGGGCAGCCAGAAGTCACCGCAATCACTACACCCGCATAAGGGCGTATCGGGTCGCATAAAGACAGAGGAATAATACACTTAAAGATAACCAGCAGGTCTACAACCCTCCTTCCAATAATCTCCGGTTGTATAGCAATAAAATCAGCAGGTTGTAGCATCTCACTTCCACTGTAGCAGTCCTGGGATGCAGAAATGGTGCAGGGTATCACAGGTTTAACAAAGCAAGCTGCAGCTATTTCATAAGTACTCCTACTGTATATGGAGATTTGAATCATTTATTGCGTGGCTTTATCTCACCTTTGCCTTTTATTTGCCAGTTACTGATTTGTTTATTGATGTTGCATGTTTTCAACATCTAGATGTTTGTTTTCCTTTAGGAGTTTGCTATTTTTATTTTGCCTTCTTTTTGGTTGCCAATGCTTCTTTTAGCTGCTCACCATGTTGTCCTTAACTCGGATACAACTGTGTTTAACTTGCACTATCGTAACGTTAAGATGTGGACTTCCATCCAAGTCCAGGTATCTATCTGTTTGATATAAAACGGTCTGATGCGCCTTTATTGAAGCGTTTTGATCCTGTGTTTGTTTTTGAATATCAAGGCTTTGCATGTCGTTGGAACTGACCTTTCTATTATCTGTGGTGATGCTTTATTTTTGGCTGTGGTAAAATGACTAAATGTCATGAAATGTCACTCTCTGTAAGTGGAACCACTCACCTTCTACCATCATGTTATTGATGGATCTATTTTGTAACAATACTGTGTACTTGTGTTATTACAGTCTTTAGTTGCTAATGCAGTTCTGAAAATGTTAAAAGATGAATTAATGCTTTTAAGTGCTGGGTTTTCCTAGATGGAGTGTGGAGAAGGTCGTTAAGCTTTGCTAAGTTTTGTCCTTTCCAACCAATTAAGCCCCCTCCTTAATATTAAGTGCCTTGCAAAACTATTTGCAAGAATTAAGGCTCATTCTGCCTCCGTTCAAATGTAAAATACTTGGGAAATAAAAAACATTCTTTAACAAATACACCTCACCATTCCTGGTTCCATTTCTGGGGTTATTTCTCTATCAAAGTTAAAAATCTGTACTCCGTTTTCTGCTTTTATTTTTGCAAAATGGTTAAATTTCAGATTGGACAGAGGCTCCAGCAACAACAGCCTTTCCTCCTGATTGATGTAATTTAGGTCTGGACATTCACTTCCGTTTCAGCACATATTTGCTTTAGTGTTTACCCTTTTATTTTTATTTGTGGCTGCATGTTTAGGCTGGTCTGTTGCAGCCTCTTAAATGATTTCGTCCAGAAATGCTCTGTATGTATGTCCTTTGTTAGTGCTTGTTTTCCAGCACAGAGGCCAAGATGCAGTTTTTCTGAGCAATTTTTTTTTTAAGCTGCACAAGCAGTTTTTGTGTTGCATTGCCCTCTGTGATCTCCGCAGATCTTCTGTAGTTCTTGGGTTTCTTTTCTTTAGATATGCTCCATGTGCTAAATCTCCAGCTTTTTTATTTTTTCTCCATTTTCAGATTATGGTGCTTGATACTATTGGACACCATACAGTAGTATGCTTTATAACTTCTTCATAATGTCATATTCCTTGGACCTTATGAAACCATTTCTCCTCTAACAGAACTCTTTAACCTTATCAGAACAGCTGAGTTATTCTTGGAATAAAGCATAATAGATTAAAAGGGGTTTAATATAAAAGAATGTTTCATTAAGGGAACAAAAACCTTAAAAAGTTAAATTTGTACTTCAAAATATACTTTTCTCTCTATGGGCCCACCACATATAATCCAAGTAAAATCCATTGCCGTTACTGGTTGTAAGCATATATTTTAAGTGCATCATACTTTTACACAATAAGAGAAGAACTGCAAAAAAAAAGCTGTAATCTGTTTTATTTGGCTGATTAACTGATTTATATCATGTATTCAGCTTCTGGTTTGTCCAACTGTTCTTTTACATAAGGATAAACTTGGTAAATTTTATATGAGATTAACATGTTCTCAAAAATGTTTCCATAAAATGCTTTGGTGGAAAATAATGTGAGAGAGAACAGCACAATTTTAAAACTTTTAGAAATTGTTCTTATTTTTATACAAAAAAAGGACAAACTTGGACTTAAATACTGACCAAATTTAAGAAAACAAACAAAAAAAATTGAAACAGCAAAGGTCTCAGTTTTCCAAGCTGTTCAGACATTGGTCCCCTTTTTTATCTGATTTTCTATTCCTCCGTTTTCCAAATTGAAGGACAAATCAGGGTCTTGGAGGTTTGGGATAAACAGTTGTTCCTGTAATGCCTTCTGTTGACCAGGCGAGGGCAGTGTCTAGCCCTGGCTTTGCTTAAACTGATGGGGTGTGGATTAAAATTAAGGATTAAAATGGTGAGTTGTCATTTCACACTGGTGTCTGAAAAAACAAGTATGTGACTATGTTTTGAATTTTCAACATGCTTATAGAGAAAAGTTTTATGTTTAGTTTCATATGTTCCAGCTTCTGAGAAAGCTATTCCTTATGAAGCACAATACTGTATTGTTTTTGTAGAAATAAAATAGATAATTGGTCAGTAATTGGGTTTTTGTTCTACTGTTTCTGTACAATTAGAAAATGGGACTAAAGCCACAGCTTTTGAAAAGAAAGTAAAGAAATCTGAAGATATACTTTAAGATCCAGAGGGAGGGATACTAGTTATTATAGCTCAATGTAAAATGGAGCCAAATAACAATTGTAACCATACTAGTGGTAGTAATGAGATGAATAAAGCACACTATGATCCATAATGCACTCATTTTCTATGGTAATTCTAAAAGCAGAGGGTACAAATAATCAGCTACACCCTCAGTTCTTCTTCCTGAATGAGAACTGCACTAAGAATTAACTGATAATTAAATATTTACACCATTTATTGGGCACTATTACAAAATTATTTTAGCAACAACAAAACTGCCTCTAATTTACTGTGGAGAACATTATTGATATACATCTTGTAAGATTATCATGAATCCTACAAGATGCATTAACTGATTAATTTGTTTCAAATATTTCATTGATTGAATTTTAACAGCGCACATGTCTCGTGAAGGCCATGCAAAATGTTATAGAGAACTTTGCAAAAGTTTACAACCCCACTAAGCTTCTTCCTATTTGCCAACACAACCTTGAATGTGTCCTTTCAGGATTTTTCTCAATAGTATATAATAGAATACATTTATAAATGTAAATTGTCTTTAGAAATAAAAATCCTGAACACTGGTATGGCCTGACATTCTGAGCCCCTTATGTTGAATGAGATCCAGTGAACCCAGACGTCTCTATAGGTAATCTAGCTAGTTACAGAGTCCGCCTGTTTTAGCAATCAAATGTGAGGCATGTTTGCCTTTTCAAATCCATATATTTCCTTAATCTTTTGCCCCAGTTGTTTGTTGTTTTTATTATCTTGAGATATCTGGGGTCTAGTGTTGGCAACAAGAAGCGGACATGATTCACTATTTCTTTTTTTTTTTTAAAACAATGCTGTGTTATGGTTGGAGGATGCTGATCTAGTAGCAGGGCTTTTGGGCCAGGGGGCTGTTTGGGTTCCACTTTTAAACTTTCAGATTGTCAGTGAAGTTAGGTGAGACAAAAAGGAAAAAAAAAATCTCAATGGGGAGATCTGATTTTAGCGGCTGGCTCAAAGTCCCTCATCCTGCAAACAGGAAGCCTGGGTTCATATCCCAGCTGAGGCAATGAGCTAACAGTTTGGGTCCTTAGGCAAGACCCTTCAGGCTAATGCCTGCTTTGGGGAGTGGCGGCCTACTGGTTAGGGCATTGGACTTTGAATCCTGAGGTTCTAAATTCAAGCTCCTCTCCCACAAACTGCCACTCTTGGTCCTTAAAGCAAGACCCTTATCCCCACACAGCTCCCCAGGTGCAGAAAGTTTATTTTGTTGTTCTGCAATTGTGACAGTGTAATGACAATAAATGTTGGCAAAAAAAAATAAAAATAAATCTGATGTTTCCTGTTGAATTTTCAGGGGGCCCTTGATCTGCGTCAGGGTGTGGGGTGACAGGTTTAATGGGATCAGTCTGGGGAAGTTTAATGTCGGACTCCTATTGTCCTACAGAAGTCCTGTAAAGACCTTTTTTTCCATTAACTTCTCTGAGCCATCTATCTGCTTATCTCTGTCTCAGTAGGAGCTGTAGTGAATGTGTGTTAAATCCCCAAGCTGGATGTAATTTTGTTTTTTACACCAAAGTAAAGCCTTGCTCTGTTTTAGGCTCCGCCTCTAAGATTGGATGCTGCATCCTGAGTCTCAGCCCAATTAAAATCACCTGTACACTATTTAAGGCCTGTGAAACTGTACTACAGGGCCATTTGTCTGCCATACACCTCTGTGGTTGTTGTAGCATCTAATGGGCTGATAAATTGCTTCCAAGTATACCTGCTCAGATAGCTTTTGTAGGACAGAGCTTCCTTTTGTTTAACCCCAGCTTTTTCCTGTTTATGTGCTTGTTAGACAGGTTACTCCGTAGGTTTCTATATGGCAGAATAAAATGAAATGCCTTTTTGTCTCCTTGATTCCCTGTTAAATGTATGTTGGTCCCTTATACCTCCTAGACCTATCCAGGGGACGTAACAATGTGGCAGCCTCATCATTGTTATTTCTGAATGTTCTCTCTTTAGGGTCAAGGCTGCTGGTAGATGGATCACAGAAAACACTTTAGATGTAAGACATTTAGTTCCAGTTCAGCTTAAACAGAAATTCCCATTCTTGTAAAGGTGTACTTATTCCAAAAATATTCAAAAATAACTTATAAATCTCAAACTCAATAAGACACAAACATTTAGCAACCCTTTAAACATGATCAGAAGTTGTGTCCCTGCATAAAAGCAAGAAACACTGAATCCACTGAGAAACACTTGATATTGAGACCTTCAGCTTTATTCAGCAGATGCATGAAATCCTCCTTCAGTACTTCTGATTTTTTCCTTGACCACAGCATCCCTGTTTCCAGTTTGATGATTGTGAAGGTTCAGGTGCTCTTCTGTGCCTGTCAGAATATTCTCTGAGATCAGACCCCACTTTACTGGTAGAAATCATAATTTTGATTTTACACCTTTTACTGTTCTCAGCAGATGGTAATTTTCCAAATTTTTTTTCCATTCAGACAGGTAAACCTGTTTTGAAGAGGGATGACTTCCCCTGAGTCAATCACTTTCTGTTGAAATCTGTCATTCTGAGGAGAAATTGGACCATTTTTCCATGATGCTGGCCATTCTGATTTAAATGCTGTTCTCTAGTGAGTAGTCTTCCTCGGTGTTTTGGTTTTGCTCCCAATCGGTGTCCTTATCAGCGTTTTGAGTCATCTATGTAGGATCACAAGCTATCTTTCAGCATCATTGCTGTGCTCCATGTTGACCTCAAAGTTTCCTTGGGTCTATTTGGGATTACAGAGTTGTCTTATTGTTGAACCCAGTATAGACTTTCACATTAAATTCTAGTTAATGGATTGTATTCCCCAAAGCAACCATTTTCTTTAAGAAAGAAAAAAAGTCAATGTCTAAAGTGGCAGGAAGTTTCTTGTGCTGATTAGCTGAAATGCCATTCTTTCAGATTCGTTCTTTCAGATTCAATAAAAAAACATAAAGTTAATTAAAAATGTTTAGAAATAATAGTAATCCTTGTAGGTCCCTGTATGCAGCAGTTCCAGTCCAACTTTTTCACAGTTTGCATCAGACATGAAAACTCAAGACTAAATCAATTCAGGGAAGAAAAGAGTCTTCAAGCAGAGAGAAGCAAGTCACAAATACAAATATAGAAAGTAAAAAAAAAAGACTGCAAACAAGTTAAAAATAACTTTTTTAATTATAGCTTTATTAATAAATACATAAAAAAATCATATCCCTTTAAGTTCATATTGGCCACACCTACAAATAATTCAAAATACCTGCTCCTGAAATCATATCAAATTGGTAAATTACCATGAAGTATTAACAAGTACTGATTGGGGAGTACGAATGCAGTATACATCACAGGTGTTCAATTTTTAATAGATTAGAAAATTAGGAAATTTTAAAACCGTTGCTGAATTTCCTGATTTCCACAATCAGTCTTGAATGTAAAATCAGAATTTGAAAAATATTACATTTTGTTTTAACCAGACAAAATGTAAACATGTGAACAAGGCACTGGATTTGCTCAACTTGTGTGACAGATCATCTTAAATTAGATTTGTGTTTTTTTGTTGTTGAAGCATTGTTATCTTTGTTTTTATGTGGTTTATCAGTCCTTCTTCACAGATATGGATGGGAAGGTGTATGTTTTCTTCTGAGCTAAATGAAAAGCAATCTTCTTCTCATAGTAGGCACATTCATTTACAAAGAAAGGGTAGAGGTCTTCTCCCTCGTACTTCAAAGTCTCCCCGGAAAATGTCAGGAAGATGGGATCCCCCGACCGGAGCAGCTTAAAGTCATTATCCTGGAGGAAAAAATTTTTTACTTTATGCAGCTTTTCATTAACTTCCCCTGGAGTCTGCTTTAATATTGCTGCAGTAAAAGCACTAAAACCCAAATCTTGCAGCGCACCTGTAGGTCTTGGTGGATGGCAGCTGTAATTTTACCTGCCGGGTCTCTTGGGTAGTCGACACTTTTAACTAAAGTGTATGCTTCCACTGTGCTGCCCTCAAAAGTGTGTCCTGTTAGCAGACGAGAATCACTAACCTGATTCGGATTGGATCACATACACAATAAAGTATAAAACTAGGTTGCAGGTTTTATTTTATGCACATTTTATGTTGCATTAGAAAATTGAAATTATAAATAGTAAAAAGAGAGTGTATCTCAAGAAGATAGAAAAATAGATCTCAATATTCCATAATCTGTTTGTGATCTGCTGTGAAAAAACAACATACATCCTACCAGAATTGAATTCCTGAAGCCATGCTAATGTGAGCTCCACTGCTTCTTTAACCATGTTGAAGATATCAGCTCGGAGCACGCCGTTAGGTTGAGGACCCACTTCTATCGCTGCAATGAAGTAAAGTCAGCCACAGATTTTCTGGATAAATGAACATAATCTACGTATATATGAAAATTTTGATAGTTACCAAAGCCATGTTTGCCCACTGACTCCAGGGAATAAGCATCAGAGGCAGGAACGGCCACCTGGATTGCTCTCACAGGAATAGAGCTCATCTTATTCTGAAAAACAATACTCTTTGAGTTTGAAGACATCACACATTTTATGTTAGGTTTAAGAGATTAGCAGGGATGTCAGTGTGAGTGAAAGAGCTAAAAGGAGTTTCTAGAGATCTGTCAATGTGGGATCATTAACTAGAATAGAATTCAAATTATTGTCATTACATTGTCACAACTACAAAGCAAAGAAGTGAACTCTTTATCTTGAGGGCAAAAAAGGAAGCTTTTTTAGTATAAAGATGCTCAGTAGGTAAATTATGTTCATAAATAAATGTGTTTTGGACCTTTTAAAAGTGCTGAATTTGGGATAGCTAGCATTTTGTGGTTTTGTGGTTAGAATTACGTGTCATCATTACCATTTAGCACAGGAAAGGTAGCCAGAAACTCTG